TTCTGATCTGACATATGTCAGTTCGGAATGGACATAGATTCCGATCTGACATAAATTCCGATCTGACATACAACACCACTATCTAACAGGTATCATTCATGAGGATTCTAATTTTAGTGTATCGTGAAGATGTGCCCACGAGATTTCGGGATGCTAGTAACCTAGCCATGGCGAAAAAAATCATGTGAAAATGTTCGGATCACGTGGAAAGGTTCGGATCGGAGCGAGCGTCCGAGCTGGAAAACAGTAAACAAATCGCGTGCAATATTTGTAAAGATAAACAAATTTCACACTTTTATTGTTATCACTAATGTTAGCTACTCGAAGCAAATGTTCTTTGATCCAACGCAGCCGCCAAATGTGAGCCTTCACTTTTCGGCCAAGCATTCTACTGACTATGTATCATGAGCATGTAAGGCTTCTTCTCCTTTCAGCATAAATGCTTTATCAACGCCTTATAATTTCTCGCAAATTTGTCGTTCACATAACACTAGTGTCTTTCAGAACAATGATTGCAAGTCGCATATTCATATGACGGACGGATTATTACGTCTTAGCCTGCAGTTTTCTTTGTATCATGGCAAACGTTAAACTTTTTTCATAAATTCTTGAACAGGTATTAACGATGTAAATGTAATGTATGTTTGAATACTTTGACATAGTTATGTTAATATTATGTTTTTTTGAAGAAAAGAGGTTAGCGTATATGTTAATTTTACTTATGTTAATTTGAAGTTAGTATATAAGAAAAGAAGTTAGCGTTTTGTTCTCTCAATAGATTGTCTATAAATGTCATCAAAACAACAACTAGATATCATACTTTTTTACTTGTATTTGAACTTATGAGATAAATTATCTTACAGTTATTATTATCGTTAGCATAACTTTGACCGAAGTACATAGTGTAATCTTTGCGATTTACTAAATATGGTTTTGGTTACGTTTTATACGGCCAAAATTTTGTAATTAAGTTACCATTTTACCAATTAAGAAAGTATGTACAACTGCAAGACTTTTTGTCCAAAGTGTGTACGACATATTCAGGCTTGTTGGTTTCAACAATTTACGATAGATCCAATTACAATACCAGAATCTGAGATGATGGGACCAAAAATCTTAGCTGGAAATCATCTCGGTCCAGACACTGAGGTACAACAATATATGATATTATTGCCCAACTCACCGCCAAACATAAATTAACGTGTTTTGCTGCTGTTATTGTTTATTAATTTAAAACTCGTGAGAGCAATCGGTTCTCAATCATTAAAATATACAAACTGGACTGGTAGTATTACAATTCTACTTGAATTACGTCTAAAACAACCCCCCCAAATACCAAATGATCGAACTAAGCCCAAAGATAAAGATGCTCATAAAGTCCCATTTAACCTTCATGCCTCCATTAACCGTGACCACGGTGGTAATAGCATTGGTTGGAGTTGGTGTGCCGGAAGTTGATGTGCTGGTTGTTGTCGTCGGTGTCGGTGGTGTCGGTTGCGCTGCGGCCGACGTCGAATTTGCTATTGGTGGTGGTGTACTAGGTTGGTTGTCAAACGAGACAATGACATTGGCGAAGGATATGACCGAATTCGGATTTATTACGAGAACGCAATAGATAGCGCTTATAGGAAGTGGACCCAAATTGCTGCCTTTAGCACAGACCTGTACACGATCGACAAAGCTTTTCATGTTTGGAAAAAAAAAGAGCATGAACATTAAGCAAAGTGTATTTCTCGCTTTATCCCCCAATTCGAATCAAAATTATCCTACTAACCAGGAATAGGTAGGAAAGTACAAATTAGCGTCGTTTCTCAAATACTTGTTAAGATCGGTCTGAGTCATGGCAGCACTGAGAAGGCCTACTGAAGTTGCAGAAATTGTGGGGCTTGTTTTGCTGAATAGCGCAACATTGCCAAAGCCCGGCGTGGGAGTGACTGAAACATTTGAGTATGTGGTAACATAACCTGATTGGAAAGAGTGGGTGAAGAAATTAGTGCAAGTGACTTGGAAGTTTAAAGATGAATGAAACCGTGATAGGATACTCACTTATCATAGTTGTTGGTTGGGCGGAGCAAATATACCTTTTTTGGGATGCGATCGTTAGACGAAGATAAGATTAGATACTGATGTCAAAAACTTCTATTTCTTCTTACCATGTGCTTCCTACTGGTAATGAAATACTGCCTGTTTGAATGGTACCACTCGTTATACTCGCCTAAATGCAATTAATGTTAGAAACTAATTCAAGCATCGTATTTTCATCGAACCTGACCATTCATACCATAACTAATAATAGCAAGAGACTCTTTAGTAAGTGCTGCATACTGTGATAGAAAACTTATTAAGTTTAGTATCTTTAATCTGTTGTCCTTTATATACAAAGCTTATGACAAGCGTGAGGAAAGTCCTCCATTTTGCGCTCCTTTATTACGAACAAGTGTGACAACAGCAACTGAAACGAAATGCGCGAGGGTATATTTATAAAATTTGTGCATCATGCAAAAATCTGTATATTAGGGGTGTTACAAATTTATCGGCTGATTTTGAGCCACAATATTTATATAATAGTCGATGTAAGAGATAATAACAGATGATTTCACCCGGCAAACTTCTTCGTAACTTTGCTAGCGAGTGATTGACATTCCCGTGACTCCCGTAATACTTAAACCGAAAAGATTATACGTCGACATAAATAGATGAACAAGTGCTCTTATTCTAATACAAGGAGTATCCCAAACAGAGGATAAGGGGTTCAGGTCTTGACTAGCAAACAGGTTATTTTCTTTCGGAATGCTAGTTAGTTCAGTCCGAAGTGTTACACAGTACAATCCGACGTGTAGTACAACATTGGGTATTTTTACGATTATGTTACTCTGAGATTCTGACGTGGGCAGTGAAATATTACATGCTATTATAATTATTCCTTATACGCTAGTGTCAAACATCTTACCTAAGCTACAGTGATAAGTATATATTTTACATTAACAGTCTATCATATACGTGTATTGCCTACTCCCGACCACGGCTACTCATTTTCAGCCTTATGAATGTCTTTACCAATTGTAGTAGCAATTTTTATGACAGAGCGATATCACACAGAACTCTGTGTGATTGCAACAGTTTGATTGATGTACAGTATATCCATGTTCAGTATTATATCAATGCAAGCTTTAAAAGATGTCTATGCAGGTCAAATAGATCGGGCTGTAATAGTAAATAAGTGATTTATAATGTATATGGGCTGGGCTAAACGTTTGCCAATAGTGCTATGGGCTTAAAAGAAGTTCTCGGTTCTGTTATCGGTTTACTTTTATTTATCATGTCGAAAGCATGTTTTTTTCTTAAGATAGACCATGGTTTTCAATTGAACTCCGTATAAAAACTTATAGTAGGAACGCAAATGGTATAGTTGCTCGTATTGTCTATGCACACTCCCTTGAATAAACAGATCGACAATGCAAAATTTTAATTTATTGTGAGATCTACGGATAAATGAGGACATATTAAATTGTATCAGATATGCAAGTGTTGCATAACAACTAGATTTAGAATTTTATAGGGGAGAAGTGTCACTTGCGAATACGTTTAATTTTATACAGTAATAAAGTTATATATATTTATTGTGCCACATGTTCGACTAATCGTCGCGGGCTCATTATCTCAAATTACGTTCATTGTCACAGATACAGGGGGTGACAAATGTATTGCACGCTTTTATTTTTAGCAATAAAAAATTTTTTTATCAAGACCACAGTCAATTTTATTTTATATTCGGAATTAATCCATCAATGTTTAGTATGTCCTCCATTGGCAGCAATCACAGCCTGAATTCTATTTGTGCATTGATCGCACCAAGTCATGATATACTTTTTGCGGAATCGCCTCCCAAATCTCTTTCACTACCTTTTCAAGTTCACCAATGCTTGAAGGCTGAGGATTACGGTTTCGAATTTCTACCTCAACTGAAGGCCACAAGTTCTCAATAGGGTTGAGATCGGAACTTTGAGCAGGCCATGGAAGCACCTCTATATTTTGGGAATGAAGAAACTCTCGTGCAACCTTCGATGTGTGAACCGGTGCATTATCTTCCTGAAAAATAAAATTTTTTCTGGTTTGCTGAGAAAACGCTTTAAGTGTGGGAATTGCATAAGATAAAGTATTTTTTTTTGTATACATTTCCAGTTACTGAACCTGTAAATGGAACAATGGACCTAATTTTAAAAAGAAAAAGCATGCCCAAAACATTCTTTGTGGAGAATGTTTTACTGTTGATGCAATGCAATCTTCATAAAATTCCTCTTCTGGATTTTCCACACTCTTTCCCAACCAGATTTTTGAAACTAAAAATATAGACTCATCTGTCCAGATTATCTTTTTCCAGTCTTCCAAAGTCCAATGTCTTCTTTCTATTGCTTAAGTTAGTCATTTGGATTTGTTGATTGCTGAAATAAAAGGCTCTTTTTGAGAAATACAGGAATGTACATTTTCCTTATAAAGTGCTTGATAAATTGTTTGTGTAGATATTTGTTTGTTGATTTTACAGAAAACATATTAGTAATTTTTGTCGCCTTGTTTCCTTATTTTTGAGAACTATAGCCTTCAATCTTTGCATTTTTGACTGTCGATCAAGCATGGTCAACCTAATTGTTTTTTTGAAGATTCTCCTGATTCATAAGCTGTAAGATATCTCGTAACTGTTGTTCGATAACATCCTACAGCTTTTGCAATTTCTGTATTATTGTGGCCTAATTTTTGGGCTGTAATAATGCTTTCCTTTTGTGCAGAAGTTAATTCTTTAGCAAGACCATCACGCGAAAAATTGAAAGTGATAAAGATTTACATCAACAAAAAGATGTTCTTGTAAAAGTGTATATAATAGTTATAACTCAAACTGTCATCCCACAAATAACCATTGTGCTTGCTAATCATTCATAGTGTCGGATCGCCACACATGGGAGAGCGTTCGTGTAACGACCTTGGGATTTAGTCGTCTTCCGGCGGAACTCTTAGGCTCGTTCCTACTATCGCTAAACCTCTATCCAATTAGTGACTTAAATAAGATTTATCAATACTCACGGATTTACAATCCGACTATCTGTATACGCTTTCTCTAGATTCTATTTAACCTCCGAGTCAAACAACGATTATGATTCGCTAGGGATTATTAACGAAAATCTATCGACGGGGAAAGTTTAATAATAACGCGGTTAAAAGTGCAATTAAATAGAAATCCTGATGCCTAAAGGCAGAAATCACTGAGGAATACGTCGCCTTTAAGACCTAGACTTGACAATAGCTTACAACTAGAAATTATGTTTTGTTTAAATCAAAGTAAATCTTTTTGTTGCTCATACATTTAGTAGCATAGGTGTTATTAGAATGAACCTTGTTAGTATTATTGTGAATAGTATGCTATGTGTATCACTGTGATAAAAATTTTTCTATAGATTATCACATTTTGCAAAATCGAAATGGGTCAACAATTTTGACCTGTCAAATCCTAGAACAGGTCATAACAGTTGTTATATGTATGTTTGCTAGATTTATATATCAGCAGAAAGTCTAAGCTAAATTGATAATAGAGCAAGTTTTTAACACTTATTATTTTATTATATGTATAATCAATGAAGATTGTTGATATATTATTTTTTACAAAAACTATATGATGGTTCTGAACCAAGACAGGTGTGACGCTACGCTATAAACGGTGAAGTATTCTCTCCTTTATTTCTGCGTTCCTCCGACGGTGCCGCAGCACAAAT